TACAAGTACTAGACAAGTCTGTTCCTTCCATTTATTTGCAAAAGCCCGTCTGTTCTTGGCTGAATGGCAGTGGATTGGTTGCAACATAGTCGTGTCACAGGCATTCACTGGATAATCTGTTCAACTGATACAGCTGCTGTAACATATGTTCACAAGATTCTATGAGCTCAGTTCGTCTTGTCTTTGCCTCATGGACAGTCTTTTCCTGAAACCCACTCATTTCCCGGCGCAAAAGGTGATACTGACTTACCTGCATGGTTTTGCCCAGCCCCATAGAGTGGGCCAGTATACAGCCGAAGCCCTGGGTGGTCTTGCATCGCTCCTGAGACTCGATAACATTGTCGTACAGAAACCGAACACCACCGATCTGCGGGGCGCCAAACGACACGATACGCATGAGTCACTGCCGTGACGAAGTGGCGGCGCGGCAACGGCACGCGCGTGACACCAATACCTACTGAATCCCTTAAAATTCATGGTCGTCATGTTTATATCCCCTAACACGTGCAGCGGAAACAAACAAAATGTCCTAGTCACGAACGAATCACACAAAAATTGTTAAAGCAAACTCTCGTCTCCACGAAAAAAAAGACATTGGGAAACAACGAAGACAACACCTCGCCAGCGGCACACTAGCCTGCCTGCCGCTGCTGGGCACTTCCCAGCATCGCCGCGCGCGCCACGCGGGGCGCGTCTCGACACGGGGCTGGTCGCTGACCTGGTGCGGCTTGATGTTGCGCGCGATCTGCGGAGCGATGAAGATGTCCATCTCGGCCGGCGGGTGGCCCACGTTGACGAGCACGCGGCCCAGCGAGTCGGGCACGTTGCACGTGTCGTCGGTATGCGAGCCCGAGTTGTTGGTGTCCTCGGAGGGACCCTCGTCCTTCTCCTCCTCGCCCGAGCTCAGCAGCTGGATGTCGTCGTCGCTCGTCTCGCCGCCGCCACCGCCGCCGCCCAGCCCGAGTCTGCCGCCGCACAGCACAGCGCCCCGGTCAGGCACAGGCGCTCCCCGATCTGCTCGGCGCTTCGTCCCAACCACAGCACCACCCCGGTCCGCACCAGAAGCCCAGCCAGCACAGCGTCCCCGGTCAGCACAGCGTCCTATCAGCGCAGCCGTCGCGATCAGCCTGGGTCGCGGGCCAGCACAGCGCCCCAGTCGGCAAGTGTGTCCGCCCCCCGCCCACCCCGCCACACACGACAGCCACCATGACCGAGGTCATAGCGTCAACGCCAGCGGATGAGACAGACGGAAACAAAAACCATCCCCTGGCACAGTCTGAAGAGACATTTTACAGGACGAGGTCGACCCTGTTTGAAATCTACGAAAAAATGGTGACGTCAAATCATCAACCCAAACTCCAGTTCGGCCTAAGGACGTTCGTTTCCGGCCTGCCAAGGGAAGCAACGATAATAAGGAGTAGTTTTACCCAAATGAAATGAACTGAAGAAAACATTGTTACATCCCCTACGCCTTCATGAGCGTACATCTGACCCTGGGCCACGACATGTTACTTACACTAGCCCACCCACATACCTTTGCCTTGGCCTGCAGGCTTGTCGTGGTCGGGCCCTGGCCTTGGCCTGGTCGTGTTTCTCCTCGTTCGCTAGAGAGCACAATCACGTCCGAGTCGTCGTTGCCGGCAGCTCCTTGCGCTCCTCGGCCTCGCGCTCGGCTCGCCTCCTCTTCCTCGCGCTGCTTCTTCTCAGCCATTACGCGCTCTTGCTCCTTCTTGAACTGCTCCGAACACTTCTTCTGCTCGGCCAGGGCGCAGGCTGGCGCTCCTTCTCATCCTCCTGCGCGCGCAGCGTCTCCGAGTCCAGCTTCTCCTCGGTGATTATCTGGCGGATGTTGCGCCGCTTGTTACGCGGGCCGGCGTCGTCGTCTGTTCTTGTCGCCGCCGCTCTCGGCGCGCTTCTTCTTGCGTTTGCGGCCCTTCTTCTTGCGCCTCTTGGGCTTGGGACTCTCGGGCGCGTCGCCCTCCTGCTCAGACTCGTCACCATCGCCGTCGCTGGCCTTCGCGCCGGCCCGACTCCGACTCGGTCTCGCTGGCGTCGCTGTCGTCGGACGAGTCGGGCTCGTCGCCGCCGTCGGCGTCGTCCGGCTCGCTGCCACTACCGTTCAGCAGGTCCGGTTTCTCCTCCAGCATGCTGAGCATGTCCTTGACCTCGGAGAGGTCCTCAGCTGTGCCGTCCACCTCGCCCTGCATCAGCTCTGAGTCGAGCACAGCGCCACTGATCAGCTGACCTGATCTCGGCCTTTGACTCGAGTCGTCGAGCGTCTCGGTGGCCACAGCGCCCGACTCGGTCTTAACTAGCGCGCTCGGCTCGCCGGCCGCGCCGGTCGCCTTCCTCCTCCGCCTGACCCCTTGCCCACCGGTTCTCGCTTCACGCCGCACTTGTCCCCAGGCGAGCTGGGCGCCGGTTTCGGTCTGGTTGGCGCCTCCCGCCGCCGCCATCGACGTCGACGTCGAAGAGTCGCCGCCGTCCCGCTCGTCCGCGGAGAGATCCGACGCGCCGTCCCAGCCGGCGACTGAAGTCGAGCTTTGTTCTCCCGGCTGGTCCGCGCGCGTTTCGCGGACGGCGCGCCCTCAGCCGGGCGCCACTCGTCATCTCCCAGGTGAGGGTCGCCCTCTTCCAGGCGAGAGTCGCCTTCTTCCAGGCGAGACTCGTCCTCTTCCACACGCGAATCGCCATCTTCAAGGCGAGAATCGCCACCCTCCAAACGTGATTCGTCTCCTCCGCGACGCGACTCATCCTCCTCTTCTTGCAATTCGTTTACTTCGGGGCGCGAATCACCCTCCTCCACACATGACTCTTCTTCCGGGTGTGGTCCATCATCAGGGCGCGACTCTTCCCCCCAGCGGGTCTCGTCCGGGCGCGACTCGTCCCCTTCCAGGCGTGACTCATTCTCCGAGCGCGGCACATCATCAGCCAGTGCATATCCGTCGTCCCCCATATGGGAGTCCTCTTCATCCAGCCTGGACTCGTCCCAGGCTGACCCCTCTCGCTCACAGCGTGAGTCCTCCTCCTCAGATCGCGATTCGCCCTCCTCCGGGCGAGATCTGCCTTGCGCAGAGGTGGCCGTCGGCGCGCTCACCCTGCCGGCGGGGAAGTCGGCTGCGCTGCCGGCGGGGCCGACTGGCGCCGGAACATAGCCATCGCCTCCTGTAGGGTGAGCTGGCGCGGCTGGTCGGCCGGCGCCGACTGCACGCTGGCGTCACCCGAGCCGTGCCGGCCGCCGTCGGAGCGGCTGTCGGCAGCGTCTGACTCAGCCTCCTCCTCCTGCTCGGATTCCGACAGCGGCACGGCCGCGATGCCGGGCGGCAGGCGGACGCCGAGCGCGCGCGCCGGCTCCCGCGGCGCCGGCAGCTCGGACGGCTCTTGGACGGGCACGGCGCGGATGCCGGGCGGTAGGCGCGGTAGGCTGGCAGGCGGCGGCACCGGCACGGCCCGTATGCCGGCCGGCAGGGAGACCGGCAGCGCAGCCCGGGGCGCCGCTGTGCCGCGACCGTCGCCCGTCTCGCTGACGGTGTCGTGCGGGCCGCCCTGAAGCACGGCAGCGGCGGCGGCGGCGGCGGCG